ATAATAATAATAATAATAATAATAATAATAATAATAATAATAATACAAGGATCATTAATAGGACTTCTCAAAGGGAAATAGACTGCACTATAGCTTCACCATGGACAATGGTCAAGGTGCCCTCCTCTCCTAATAAAAATTCCAGATGAAACTAAAACCATATTAGAAAGAGCACCTTCCTTGCCTGGATAATTATAATTAGAACTTATATCATTATCTCAGGGCTGAGCCCTAGTAACCTTCTGAGAGCCAAGAGGCACTTTCCTGCCAAGCAAAGGACAACTAAGGCCACAACACTGCAACCAAGTGTCATAAAACCACCTTAAGAAATATGAAACATTCAACATACTCAAAACTGAGACTGTAATTACTGTTTATTGTAAGTGAAACAAATGTAGATTAAACAGATTAAAAATGGAAAGGAGCACAAACTCTGTTTAGTGACATCTGAGTGCCTCGTAATATGAAACTAGATAGCTGAAGAGCAAAGTAACTTTTTTAAGAGTTCCAGATAAAACCAGGATTGCCACAATTCTTTGGCAAACCTCTTGTGCCTAATAGCGCCAGTTCCCCAAATTACTGCATCTCAATAGTAAAGAAAGCTTCGCCAGCTGAATTTCTACCCAGAAAAGGAACAGGAACTTTATAGGGGAAAAAAGAAAAAGAAAAACAACAACAACAACACATGGTGACCTAAGCCAAAGCAAAAAATTAAAAATGTATCCACCCACAGAAGGCACAAAATTGCATTAAACATCAGAAACATAAAAAAGTAAAAATAAAAATAGTTGACTATTTTTGTATCTTCTGGAGTCTGTCCAAAAAGGACATTTGAGGCATATTTGCAAGCTTTTCTCTCTACTGTGGGTGTAAGAGAGAGAGAGATGGAGAGGCAAAATAAACATTGATGTGTCTGGTTAAAAAAACAAAACATTGCAGTTGTGGAGTGTGATAGTTGGACTGCAACTGTAGCACACACAGAGGAAAGGATCCCTCCTCCCTTTCTCCCATATTCCCTCCTGATGGAGGGCGAGACTTTTGGTCATTCTGTCTATATATTCTCTCTGATATCAGAGGTACCACATTCTCAGCTTCATAGTAAAACCGTCCTCTGAAAGCACTCTGTGTCAAGATTTGGAATATTGCAAGAACCTGCTTGCCATCTTTGTTCAGGACTCACGGCTTTCTTCTCTGTGTTGCCCCATGTTTAATATATTGCTGATGAAGCCCAAGAAAACATCAGGAGCTGTCCATGTGTATTTACAGAGGAGAAGGGAGAAGAATTTTGCTTCATGTGAATTAACTCTTTTTTGAGGGTATTCCATGATCCTTCCAAAAAGCATGGTCTGTGGCATTTGGTGGTCTCAACTACCTCCTCCAGGAAGCCAGCTGCAATTCCTTGTTTGGGCCCTTCCAGGGCTTTCAAGGTGTCAAAGGGCTTAATCTTTTCCTGAGACTCACGGCTACATTTAACACAAGGCACCCTCTCACTCTGTAACTAAGAGGAGTAGAGAGGGAAGACCTATGGTTGCTCAGGTATTGTTGCACTTCAGCTCCCATCAGCCCATGCCAATATGAGTAACGCCCACAGAATCATAGAATAGCTGGTGGAAGGCGGCTATAAGGCCATCAAGTCCAACCCCCTCCAAGTCAGAGTGCTGGTTGGAGCTGCAATCCAACAGCACAGGTGTAGGTCAATGGAAAGCACAAGATGCTTGACATGCACTTTCTGTCTCCAGGCAAAACAAGTAAGGCTCCCAAATGAAAGTCTGGAAGGCCTTTGCTACTAGTCAGTGCTGACAATGCTGGGCTGGGCTAGACAGACACATGGTCAGACTCAGCAGAAGGCGGTTTCCTATGCTCCTAAGAACTAGTTGGTCACATGCACCCTAATGACTGCAAGCTAAGCATGGTAGGAGTAAAAGGTCACTGAATGCCTGAAAAAATGGCTATAGAAGGCATGTGCATAGGGGGAGAAATGTACAGGCAACGTGCCCTCCTTTCTCCTGGGCTCCTTTAAAGAGAACTCGCCCACACACGCCACGCGTCCCCATCCTCTTCTTTGGCATGAACATTCACAGACCAGCTTCAGGCAACTCAAGGAGGGCGAAAGCCCTCTGAAAGCGGATTGGCCGCCCCACCGCTCCTCCTCACCTAAGAGCGGGTCCCCCGGGCTGCTCAGGCCCTAGAAGAGCTGCCCCTGCGGCGAGGGTGGGGGGTCCAACCGGCTCGCTCCTAGAAACGTAACAGCGGCGCGGCTTCACCGAGATATACGATGGGAGGAAGGGGAAAGGTCCGGATGGACGCGCCTGCGGGATCAGCAGCCATCCGTTGGAACGGAAAGCGACTGGCAAGGCAGGTGCCTCCGCTCAGCTCGTTAGGGAGACGCTCCCGGGCACACGAACTTAGTTCAGCATTCTAGTCCTCGGTGTTTTCCTCCTATAGGCTTGAGAGAAGCCCACAAGCGTGGGAGCGGCAGGTATTCGGAGCCATTCTGCTCCTACCTCCAGCCTAAACTTTGGGGTTCTGTTTAGTTATTGTGGTTAAAAACCGTCGGTAGACCAAGAATATTTCCCTTGTCGCTGAAAGCCCGGGGGACAGGAGGGGAAACCTCTTGTGGTTACTTACTGGTGGAAGGGCAGATGTGTTCTCTGCACATGCTCAGACGCACTCCTCTTACATGCGGGGGGCCTGAGGCGAGAAGGGAGGGAAGCGAGAGCGCGTGCACGCACGAGCCCTCCCCGCGCCCCCCCAGAGCACCGCCATCCATGCCCCCCAGAATCCCTAAGAGGGTCTCCCTGCGCCCCCTCCCCAAGCCCTCGAGAGCGCGTTGCTTCCCAGGGTCTCCGAGAGGGCTCCCTCCCCCGCCCCAGCGCCCCGCTCCCGCTGCTCGCCTACTCGGCGTAGCCGGTGCTCCAGGGCAGGCGGCGGCGACTCTCGCGGGGGCTCTGGACGGCTCTGCCCGTGTGGTCGTCCGCCAGCAGAAGTTCCTCCGGCGTGAGCTGCAGGAAAGCCGGGCGCGAGAAGCTGCCTTGGGGCGGCTCCCGGCAGGAGCTGCTGCTACTGCTGTTGGCGGCGGCGGCAGGCGCGGCGCTGGAGCTGGCGCTGGCGCTGGAGCTGGGCCCGGGGGGAGCGGCCGGGGGCGGCGGAGGCGCCGAGGAGGCCGAGGCGGGCGGCGGGCTCGAGGGGCTTCCTGCGCCGCCCAGGCCCCCGACGAGTTGCGCCATCGCCGAGCGCACCCTGCCCAACATGCTGCAGCCAGCCGCCGCGGGCTCGGGGCGGCCGGAGAGGGAGGCGCGCTGGCTGGCTCCGCTCGCCGTCTCCGCCTCCTCCTCGGCTCGGGCTGCGGCTCCGACGCATCTGGGGATCTCCGAGCACCTTCCCTCGCCTCTCCTCCCTCCCCCACCACTCCCACGCCCCACATCGCCGCCGCTGCACCCCCCAAGCCCTCCTCTCCTCTCTGGGCGGCCTTGGAGTCCCCTACCCGCCCTGTGCTGTAGAACAGCGCCGCATGGAAACACTCCGCTCCGCGCGAACCGCTTTCCTCCTCGGGAGACCGCTAAGCCCTGAGCCTCCGGTAGCTGCTGGCTGCGTCAGCCACCGATATCCCCAGAAGGTGTGCGACTGAAACTTTGGGTGTACGCTGGTACCCCCCCCCCCACCAAAGCCTTGCTGGGCTCCCGAGAGTCACAGCAGGCGTGTTTTTTCGGTCGCCATGCGAATGTCCTCCCCAGCTTTGTGGCTCGGCTGGCTCTTGAGGCGAAAGTGCAGTGCTGCGTCGCCCGCGGCCCTCTGATGACCACCCAGAGAACAGCCTGTGGTTTGGGCATCCGGAGAGCAAACTCCACGGTGGTGGTAGCGCTTACGTGGGTTTAAAATGCAAAACTTCACGTACTTGGAGTGTGTGTGAATCAGGGTTGGCGAACCTACTGGGAATATTGAAGCAGTTGTAAATCATGGAACGGGGCTTGGGGGGTTTAAGAGAAATGAAGTTAGTTGCATGCTTCAAACTGAAGGGGAAGGGAAGTCTGTCTAAAGGACTGGGCGGAGGTGAAACCGTTAAGAGACCTGTGACCCTGAGACATCATCTGTTGGCCATAGGCTATTTCCGATTCCCAGATAAAGCTCCAATCTCAGAGCTGGGAATTTATGCTTCAGTCCTTCCCCTCCTGTAGCCAGAGTGGAAGCCACGCAGCTTCCAGTCTGGGATCACGGGGGACTGCAGAGGCCTCTGCTGCTTCCTTCCCTCCTTCTCTGAAGTGTGCCAGCTTGATGACTGAAAATGGCCATCTAGTTAAAATGCAGACTGGGAGGAGCAAGGAGGCAGAGCAGAGAGCCGGATCCTGGGATGCTCAGGCATTGAAGGTGCAACCCACAGGATTTAAGTCTAGGGTCTGTCGCAACCTGCCTGAACTGCCCTAAAGAGAGTTCCGCATTGTGTCTTCAGATCTTTTCCGTATAACTGTCATTGGCTGATCATTCCATCAAGATGCACCATTCTCACTGTCTCACTTTGTTATATTGTTATGAGTTTGGGAATGAACTGAATGACCTTTGAGAGTCCCATAGATACCCTTGACTCTGATTGCAAGAGATTCAGGACCCTTTCTAACAAGTAATTTCTGAAGTCCTGGTTCACACATAATGACATCACAGAGTATGGACTGAGTGTGGCCTCCTAAGAAAACAACCCTGAGCAAACGGTGCAACCTCTGAAACTTCTCACTGCTGAGATGTGAATGCACATGCAAAAGCAGGGTTCAGTGCTCCGAGTTGTTCATGACCCCTTCCCTTTAGGGCTTTTTCGTGCTGTACAGACGTAACACCTTCCACTTCTGCATCAACCTAATGAATTGCCTTCCTGAATGCTTCACAGCCCCAAACACCTCTTAGAACCCCTGTGAGACCACCATCCTGTATTGCACATTCAGAATTCTTCATAATAAAAAACAGGGGTCAGGAAGTAAGGATTTGTAGGGCTGTACAAAGTTAGAACACAGACCTCACTGCATAGATTCTCTTCCCAGTGCCCTCTTTCCTCAGAAAGTGCCCTTTGCCTGGATTACAAGTGCTCTATCTTGCTGGTGTTTGCCTTGTCTTGGGTAAAGGTTTGTATGACAAATGCTGGTCTATAACTGGAAAGTTATCTCCACAGGGAATGTAAAGAAGATTTTTTTTCTCTGCTTGAGTATGACCAGTGAGCAAGAGGAGAATTGCAGGCCTCCTTCGTGGATCCGAGGAAGGAGTCACATGGGAGCCTGGGGTTTATTTGGTTTATTTCAAAGGACCTATTTTTAATGAATCCTCTTTTCCAGGAAGTTGTCTGTCGATCTAACTTATTATTTATTGGGCTGTATTACACACTCACTCAGCAGTGACTTCAGTACACACTTCCACTTTTCGTATAGTTGCCAAATCACAACCCAGGTCGACAGCACCTGACTTGCAGCCACAATGTTCAGAGGCAAGAAGTGGTGGTGATGAATGGAGATGAAGCCTGAGTGGGTTGCTGCGGTCAGTCACTGTGGTCTTGCTAAGCAGGCAGCAAGAAGTAACATGGACGTGATGAGATGATTAGTAGAGGACAGGATGGGGAATAAAAGGTACTACTGGGATCTGCAACAAAAGGTTGCAGTGTGGTGTGCTGCCGTTGAGGATTCCAACCACTTCTGGACCTTGCATGCGTGCTCCTCGATCATCTTACACAGAAACCTCTTTTCTGGGACGTTGAACTGTCTTGCGATTCTGTGTTTGGATTCATCTGTCCCTAGATATTTATTCTCCAATTGAACAGTGCCAGCATGTGACTCCGTTTGCAGATTTCCTTTACCTGGAGTAGTAATCTTTGCCTGAACCCAGCCAGCCTAGAGCTTGGACTGCTTTGGAAACCTGCTGTTGGAATTTATCCCCCTCTGGTTTTGTCTGAAGCAGGAAAAGATGCAAGGGATAAAGGTGTACCTACTGTTGCTTTGAAAAAATAAAAACAATGACACATTCAAGCTCCAAATGAGTGTGCTTGCTGACACATTCAAACCATAATTAAAATTGTGATGCACATGGTGATGTTTCTCTCGTCCTGGTGTCAGACAGTAGCAAGGTTGCACATGCACTGTGAGCGAAAGATGTGAAGAAACAAATTTGTTACACTAACCTTTCTTACTCTTCTGGAAAGATGGTGCTATTGTTTTGAATGTAGAAATATGTCTGCCTGGCTTCACAGAGAACCTTAAATGATGGCTAGGGATTTCACCTTGATTATTGATTTCAGCAAGCTGCCTTGGCTGGAATTAACAGTCCTGTAAAAGGACATTGTTAATTATGTCATTTCTTGCCAAAGCAAGGAACAGAAAGGAAATGTTAGATTTGTCAAGGTGAGAAGATTGTTGCACGTACTTTATTTCCTATGCAAATATGCTCTGATTTCCCATCGGTTGCTTTGAACTGGTGCCACTGAAAGCTCTGGTCTGTCTGTCTCTCTGTCTGTCTGCAGACTAGAGCCCAACAGATTTATTGAACAATTTGGCCACTTCTCCAGCAATGCAGGCAAGAATGACAGTGACCCTTTTCTTTTCCACAGAGTATGGCTGTGATCCTTCAGCATCTAGCAGTGCTTGTGCCCTTGCTGCACCTGCCCAGGGATGAAAGTGCGAAGGCAGCTCTTTTCTTGGCATGAAAATCCTGCAAAAAGTCAAAGCAGTGATGGCTAGTCAGGGTAATGAGAGATGACTGGTGGCTTGTTTTGTAATCAGGAGAGACCTTCGTTGAAAATGCATAGTTGGTAAAAGAAGTAGGAAACAAAGTTCTGGCAACAGAAAACATCTGTTAATTGCTCAGCAAAGAGTCCATGGAAAAGGAGCATTGTGAGTGCAAAAGTTCTTTCCTCTATTCACCCTCAAATGTTAGCTGATGTACATATATGCCCAGTACTCTTCCTCTGATATTACTCAATTAAGATATTGCAAAACAGAGGTTGTTAAGGTTATAACATGTAAGTGACTGGGTGGAGGGGGGCATTGCTTCTGTGTCTTAGTAAAGAAATGACACTTGAGAGTTGAGAATAAGCTGTATGGGTGGGAGTGTTTTAGAAACCAAAACCCATCAAACCTAGTGGTTTTCAACATGTTTTTAATTCATAAGGACTAGCAACTTGCTTTGAAATAGAAAGTTGGATACTGAAGATGCATAATTGCCTGCCAGATTTGACATTTCATAGTTGCAAGGTAAGCCTCTAGAGAAAGAGCTTATACTCAGAATAGGAAAAAGCCATGTCAGTTGGGATGACCCTCACTAATGATCCTTCCTGACAGGACAGGCAGCATGACCAAACATTGTGCAGGGACTGCAGTAATAACAGGATACTCCAGTGCCCTGAAGGCCAGTTCTTGTTACAGCTGTATTACTGCTGAAGGCAACTTATCATAACTCTAAGCAGTGATCTATAATAGCTATGATAATCATAATTTCTTGAATATCTTTTGACCTATAATGACCATCAGAGTAATAGTTCTGCAATTGTCAATTGTGCAGTTCAGCACTGAAGATGATAAATGATTCTGTTTATTGCAGCAAGTACAAATTCAGTATCATTAAAACAATAATAAAGAATTTAAAGCTGCAATCCTGTATCTGCTTTCCAGGGAAAATGAAATATGTGAAGCCATTTTCAGGCACCACAGAAATCTGCAGGGTGGCTCCTTCTCTTGAGATCAGAGCTTGGGAAGGGACAAAATGAGAATGGCGGGGGCTTGCCCGTGGGCAGGGAGGAGAGGTCAGAGACCCCCTGGATCCAATGGCCTCTCAGCCCATGGAACAAAGGGGAAGTTAATGCTCCATAGCCCATCTAATGAAACAATCTATGAGACGATGTCTCCACTGTTTTTTCTGCCCCTTCGGTAAGAGTCCAGCAGGATTGGATGGACAAAAGCCAGGTCTGTAGTCAGCTTAAAAGTTGTGGGTGGGAGTGAATGCCAAAAAATAGTGAGACGGTTCATCTGATATGCAGGCCATTTAAAAGATAAAAGTATAGACTTTAAACAAAAGTTTGTGAAAGCGAAAAAGGGGTGCAAAGCAGTCCCCTATCTATCTATCTATCTATCTATCTATCTATCTATCTATCTATCTATCTATCGTGAGTGTGTAGTAGACAAACAAATAGATGTTATTAGTAGCATATAAGTCCATTCCTGCAATAGAACTTCCTCTGTGGCAAATTTAGCAATACTATGTATCACATGTTTATTTTTGGTATAAA